CCCCACTGGAATAAGTCAGCCGAGCTTCGAGCCAAGGTGGAACAGATTGTTTCGATTCACGCAATAATTCCACGAGATCTCGAACCACGTTCTGATTGCGCTCGGAAAAAAATGAAGTGGCTGATCCAGGTTGACCCATTCGCTCAGTGCGACCGATTCGATGCACATACTCCTCAATATCAGAAGGTAGATCAAAATTGATCACATGCTTCACATTCGGTATATCCAGTCCCCGGGCAGCAACCGCAGTAGCAATCAAAATCGGTGTATGTCCTTCACGGAATGAAGATAATGCCCGTTCTCGATCTGACTGTGGTCTATCACCATGGATTGAAGCCACGGGGAAGTTCAACTGACTAAGATAGTGAGCCAGAGCGTCTGCACCTCGTTTGGTTTCCACGAACACCAAAACAAGACCTTCTGGGTCCGCTTTCTCTTGAAGTAAGCGAACCAACACATCGGGTTTATCTTTGTCTAAAACGTTTAGAACTTCTTGCACAATATTTTCGTTTGTACTTCCAACACGGCCAACTGCGAGAAAAATGTAGGAGTGCAAAAAGTCCCGAGCAAGAGTCTAAATACAAGAGTGATAATGAGTCGCCAACTAACTTGAATTTCTTTGGGAAATGTTGCCGAAAACATCAAGGTTTGTCGCTGTCCAGCAGGGGGCATTCGATGCTGTTCTACAATACGTCTTATTTGAGGTTCAAACCCCATATCCAACATCCGATCAGCCTCATCAAGGATAAGATACTTGACATGCTCCAAGCTGACTTTACCCCGACTAATCATATCAACTAATCGGCCTGGGGTAGCAGCCAAAATGTTGCAACCGTGCGATAGCTCACGCACTTGGGCCATGATGGAAGCACCACCATACACAACACACGGACGCACCTCTGATCGATATGAAAATTTACGTGCCTCGTCGTAGATCTGGCACGATAACTCCCGAGTAGGTGCAAGCACTAAAGCAGTCGGTGAAGCCTCACCAGTGACGGACTGTGGAGGTTGTTCATCATCATGACCTGTTTTCAGCAACCGGTTTAGAATCGGCAACAGGAAGGCCGCCGTTTTACCAGATCCGGTTTGAGCGCATGCCATCAAATCACGCTTGGCTGCGATAATAGGCAAGGCGTATTTCTGTGCCGGAGTTGGATGGATGTACTGAGCACGTTCTATATTGTCTTTTATGATCTGATGTAACTCAACTTCAGTAAAAGATGTAATGGGCTTGACAGAAGTCCAATTCGGTCCTGATTGAGTCACCGGGATGCATCACCTCTAGTAGCTCATCCCCAAAGTTGCCCACTGGTGCATACTCCATCCCCCATTCGATCTCAGGCGCATTGAAATCCCCCAAGA